CAGCACTCAGGAGGCGGGGGTAGGACGATTGCTGTGAATTTGAGGTCAGCCTGGGCTGCATAGTACCCTCAAGCTCACCCCGAACTATACAGCAGGATCTTGTCTTAAAAAAGAAAAAGAAAAAGAAAGAAAGAAAGAAAAGAAAAGAAAAGAAAAGAAAAGAAAAGAAAAGAAAAGAAAAAGGCAGACCCTAGAAACCAATCAATTATTTATAAACATTTTGATGGAACTTTACTCCTCATTTAATACTCTTTTATATTTCAGTTCCTTATCTCTGAGAGGAATGTTTTAGGTATGGTATCATTCTTAGAGAGCTCTTTTTAGACCCCAAGTCAATCTGTGCCTCAGAACCAGACTTTGCTGCTGTGAAAGTGGAAGCAACTAAGCTCCCAACCTGGCCATGATTTCTTACCGTCTGTTACAAAATGTGACAGAAGAGGGACACTTTAAAAAATTTACCCCCAAAATACTTGTGTTAGAAGTTACAAACAAGCCAGACTTATCTAAAATTACAATGTGGAAGTTCCTTCTTTCTACATTTATTGTCAACTTCAACCTTATTCCCCAGGAATAACCACTATCACCAGTATGACCTGAATCCTACCAGGCCTTTGTTAAGTATGGGGAAACAAAAAATAATAAAACAAAAAATAATTGGTTTTTGAAAGAAAACTTAAATTGTGAGTCTAAAACTTGTGCTTTCCTTATAAGGCACAATAGACATAGTTTCAAGTTAGCATGCACAGATCTGCACCACTGTTCCGCTCTTTCATAGTATTCAAATATAGCAATTAAATTAAGCATTTTCCATTGAACTTTTAAATTTAGTCTTAATTTTCACTACTACCAGTAACTGTCAAATCACATACTCACTCACACATGCCTCTGTATATGAGCACTCGTATCTGTAGGAGGACTCCTAGAGTTAGTAGAGATGAGAGTGAGCCAGGTAGTCTGGCTTGAGAGCTTGCACTCCCTACCTCTATATTACTGTGCTACTTACTATGTTTGCTTTCATCTGTGTATTATTTCAGGCATGTCAGCATCTCAATAACTTTTTTTTATTTTAAAGAGTAAAAGAAGGGTAACACAGTAGTAGTGGGGCTTAACAAATTACAGACAAAGTGGTAGGAAATTATCAATGGTTGCTGTTTTACATACTATTATCTACAAGATAGTTTTTCAGGAAAACAGACAAATAATAGTGAGCTACAGACAAAAGTGGTAGGTTATTATCAATAGTTGTTGTACTATACTTTGGTATCTTCAAAGTGGCTTCTAAAGAAAATAAATAGAGCTACACATGAGTGACCAATTGAATAATCATTGACTATTCTCAATGGTTGTTGTAGGAAACACATAGTAATAAACATACATCCATTTACGAAATAGCACAGGGACAATACAAATACTACAGAGTTATGGACAGATGAGCAGGAAAATATCAGTGACTGCTGTAATATATGATGGTATCTTCAAAGTGGTTTCTCAGGAAGACAGAGATATGCAAGAAGGATCTAACAAGTAGTTACAGCCTAAGGGTTGTGAAAAATAGTGAATTACCTCCTCAC